CCCCGGTGCTCGTGCTATATGCGTTATCGGGCCCGCAGGTCCCGCCGAACACATTTCGTCGCTGTTTGCTTGGCAGTCTGCCTGGTGTACGGCGGTGGCGCGAGGTATCCTGAGCCCGCCCACCACAGCCCGGCCCGCCGGGCAACAGGCTCAGGGGGTAGAGAAACTGGTAGAAACGTCCCGGACGAGGCCCGATGTACAGTGCACCGCGTTACGGGGGGAAGCTTATACAGGGTGGTCCCCAGACCCTTTCCTTTATTTTGCTTGAACTGTACCGCATGCATAGGGCTGGAAAGTTCCGAAAAATTCTGAAAGATTAAAAAAAAATGGAAACATTTCAAAAAAAAAAATCGAATAAAATTTCCAAAATAATTCCGAAAATTTCCGGGGTCTCGGGCGGGTGGCATACTTGCACGGGGCCGTAGTGGCGCCGAGTGGCGCCGAGCGGCGCCGTGGTGAGCGACGGTAGTAGGCAGGTCCGCCCGCACGCCTGCATGCGATACAGTATTTAAGCAAAATGAAGAAGGGGCGGACTGTGAACCTGGAGAAGCGTATACGAACCCGGTAAAAACAAAACTAATAACGAGCACAGATTCTGAAAGCTGGTGGAATATGCCTCGAAATACGCGGGCCTTTCGTTTGTCACCCGGATAATGTTTACAGTTCTCTTTCCAATTTTTAAAAAAAGTTGTGGATGCCGGAGTAAATGCAGCTGTATGGTCAACCCTCCAGTCGCACACTTTCACAGTTAAAACCCTCTTTTCAGTCTTCAAATATCCGGTCAGACACTTACTTAAAAGTGTGCAACAGCGGAAAGTTTGAGCTCTTGCATGAGCGCGCGCCAGCTGCATTCTTTCTTTATCAGAGTAAGAACGAACGTCGTTAGGCAAGAGAAGCGAGCTTTGAGGAAGGGGGGGGGAGGGGGGGCGCCGGGCGAACTCGTGCTGTGCATGCATGGCCCACCAGGGGGGGACCCGGCGGCACCGCCGTCAGAGGTGTCATATGCAGAGAGCAGAGCTGACCCTCCTCCGCCCTCCGCCCCGCGCCCCCGCGCTCCCCGTCGCCTAACCTAACCACGCTGCTAAACGCCTGTCAGGCGCACATACGCGCAGAGCGGCCGGGCTGCATCCATGACGCGGGGGTGTAAATGTCTAGAGCTACAGATTCAGTTGAGCTGCACCGCGCGGGCGAGCAGCGTGGTGAGGGGCAGGGTGGTAAGGGGGCGGGGCAGGGTAAGGGGGGGCAGGGGAAGGGGCATGGGAGGCAAAGGGCGACCACCGACCACATCCACGCTAAACTGAATATAGCGATATATAGCAGCACACTACTTGCACCCATGTATGTAGATTTTCATTTGCGTCACTTGAAGAAGTACCGGGTGTAAATGTGAATACGCAGCAGTGTTGCGAGTTTGCCTACTCTTTACCCCCGTAAGGGGCCATGGCCCTTGCGGCCATATTGAGTATGCAATCCCGCAACACTGCTGCGTATTCACAGTTACACCCGGTACAAGGGAGCGAATATTCCTATAGCATTCCACTGAGTCTGATTTTGCGATACTTTTAACACAAAACCATGCGCAACTGGTGTTTTGCGATTCCCACGCTAAAGGGCATGATAACTCCAAAAAATGTGATAAAAGTATCACATTATTGTGATAAAATCATCACAAAAATTATTTTACTTCATTTTTGTGATGATTTTATCACAAAAACGTGATACTTTTTATCACAATTTTTGGAGTTATCATGCCCATTAGCGTATGGGAATCGCAAAACACCAGTTATCGCAAAAATTGAGTAAAAGTATCACAAAACGAATTTCAGTCACTGAAACTGGATCTATGATACTTTTATCACAAAAGTTTGCGATAACTCAATTTTGCGATTCCTCTGATTTATCGCTTTTATAGACATGAAAACTTTTTATCGCAAAAGAAAATGCAATGAAAAGTATAAGGGCAAGTTATCACAAAAATAATATGATAACTTTTCATCGCAAAGTTTAGTGTATAACGGGAGCTAGTATTTACGTTTATCACAAAAACTTGCGATGAAAAATTATCACATTATTTTTGTGATAACTCTCCCTTATACTTTTTATTGCATGTTTTTTTGCGATAAAAATTTATCATGTCCAGAAAAGCGATAAATCGAAGGAATCGCAAAAAACGAGTTATGGCAGAAGTGAGGGTTAATTTATCACAAATCCAGATTCAGTG